CTGTTAAAATTGAGAAGCCTGGTATGGTCAGGCAGTCTCTGGGAATCACATTAGACCCATTGCAGCAGCTTATTTCTCTGCCCCTTCACCCGTCAGTCACTCATTTTTTTAAGGCCTATATTCCTGAAATAGTTATAGTGTGCACCTATTAACGTTATTGCGAGTGATATTACAGCAGCAAGGGGAAACAGAGCTTTTATTTACTGCCTGGATGGCAAATTAAATTAACTTTTTTTTTTTCTATAAAGAAAACATTATGCAAGTTTAACTTTGCACGTTCCTCTACCTTTTGGTGAACAGAACACTCAATTGTTTCAAGGAAAAGGAACAAACTATTTACTAGATTATTTGCTATCCATTGTTCAACTTCTATGTCTAGAAAAGAATTTATACAATGCTCTTTTTAAATTCAATGATTTCCCTGAAACAGTTTCCTTTCAGTAGTGGTGAGCTGATTTTTAATATATTTTTTCCTATCTCTTCCAGCTTAGTATTTTAACTTTCCATTTCTGCAAGTTTATTAATGACAAAAATATTTTTTATTCTCCTTGTAAACGCTTTTTGGTGATAATTATTACATAATGATGTCTTTTAGTCTCATTGACTCTCTTGCCATGAGCATTCTGAGAATAGCTGTGGATTTTGCCACGTCCGTTTCTTAATGTATTTTTGCCATGACTTTGTGCTCACTGACAGAACAGATGCTGAGATGTTTCTCACCTTTGCTACTGATTCATCTGTCATAGCTACTAAATTTGTCTGAAACACTGTGGTATGAAAAGAGGCTGATAAGACAAAGTCTACGCCTCTCTGTTACCAAAGTTTCCCTATGATGTCATGATTTGCTATCTTTACCAATCCCCAGCATTCCATGAAAGATATGAAAATGGGAAAAAGCAAGCAATAAGCAGACATTACACAGAAAAGCAGAAACTTACACCCAACTATCTTCATCTCTGCATCAGAAAGAAAGGGGAGAGAATAAAGGGAAAGGAAAGGGAGAGAAGCCAGGAAATGAAGACAAGGAGAGAGAAAAAAGAGAAAGAAACATCACTCACAAGTAGAAGATGAAGCATGCACTTTTCATCAGAGGATCAAAGTAAAAGACAGAATACTTATCAGCACATGGGGAAGGGAAGGGATGTCCTTTGGGGAACTGACAAACGCCATGCCTATGCAATAGATTTCTGATCAGCAAGTTCTGTATACAAATAAAGTTGCAATCCAAAAGGCAAGCAGCACATGCCTCATTGCTTTTATCTCTGGGGAAAGGTAAAATTGTCAGGATCAGATGGACGGTCTTAAACCCAGTAGCAATTTAGAAAAGAAAAAAAAAAACACAAGTGAACAAAAACCCACCACACCTCTTCATGAGGCTGGTTTGACTGAGTGCCTTCTCTGAATCCCTTCTGATTTGGACAAAAAAAGATAATTAGTGTCTTTATGATGCTCTTCTCAGATCACAGCACAGTAGGAAACAAAGAACATTTTATCTTTAGAAATGAAGACAGGCATGGTTATTTTGTAGGATATTAATCTTGTTCTGCATAACCATGCAAGATATAAGCACATAAAGAACAGTTTCACTTTATTTCTTAATGATGACCAGCTACCACTCATGTTTCTCATATGAGTGAGGAAAAAGCGGGCTTGATATAGGAACTAATGCTACTGTTTAGAAAACAAAATGGGATAAGAAAACTGTGTAAAAAGATACAACTACAGAATTTTAATGGTTAATATGTCTACAAGTGAAAGGATTTCCTATTAAAAAAGAAAGTGAAAATGTTAAAACTTATGACCAAGAAGATTCATTTGAAATGCTAGAGCCATTTACTTTTTTAAAAATAGATTTC